TCAACTTTTTGACTGAACTGGTTGAGATATTAAATTGAAAGTTGGAATACTTGTTTACCATCATGGTCCCAAACATGGGCAGGAGAAGGTAATTCTGTTAAGGATTTTATTTGAATTATGGCCCTTTTTGACTTAGAAACTCAGTTAAAATTTTCATTCTTGTCCACTTGTTGACCTAACCATTTGAGATATTACTTTGAAGTTGGAGTTCTTATGTGCCATCATGAGACCTATCTGTAAGCAAGAGAAGATAACTCTGTGAAAATGTTTCTTGATTTGTACTTAGAAATTCCTAGTTAAAGTCTTGTGTGCCCTTAACTGTCAAAGTTTTGTTTTATAGGCAAGCACTAAAAAAGTCGAGCGCGCTGTCCTTCTGACAGCTCTTGTTATATTTCAACAGGAGCACTTAGTAGGTAATTAGTTATCAGAGGTGGGCTAAACATTTGTATTAAGAAGCCATTTTGGAGTATGTTTAATGATAGGGGAGTTTATTTTCTCTTCTCCATCTGACAGTGTCAGAGTTGTAGAAACATAAACTAATTGTTACCCCCCCCCCCTCCCCTCGCTCTTTTAACCCAGAGTTTCCCTATTTGTTTTGTTGGAATTTAAGAAATAATTGCTTATCATTTTTCTATGTTAGGCTATTTTGTGGAGGGATTTTGGAGCTTTTGTAAATTTATGAACTATAACTCTAGCACGAGTTTTTCACTGAATTACTCCCCTTTAAATTATGGATTTACATAAATACTTTCTTTTTATGCATAAGTTTCATCTTGATAACCATTGAAACTTTACAGTTATAATTGTAGGTGACTGACACTGACTCTAGAATGGATTACCTCTGAATTATTCCCCCTATTTGCTCCTATTTGAATATAGAAATTTCCTGTAGTGTTCTTACTGTATTGTATCGAAAAAATGAGAATAATTAAGTCCTGCCCCTATGACAGCTGCGACTGATTGATTTGTTTTGATTTTTAATTGAGTAGTTTTAATATCACATAAAGTGTTTTTCTCACTGGAACTGTAAAAAAAGTATAAATAAAAATATCTGTTAATGTTATGTGAAGAAGATTTTTGTCTGACATTTTTCTTCTTCTGGTTTAGCAGCAATCTTCCTCCCATTCAGTCTGTTTTTTTTCAGTGTTCCAACTAGTTAGAAAATATACCTATAGTTCCACCTTATTTGAAAAATGTTAGGAACTTTGTGATAAAAACTTGGGAAATGAACATATTGATAACTGCAATCTTGTAAATAAGTGAGGTCTGAGGTTAGCACCTGTTAGATACCAGTATATCTGTAGGTGTTACAATTTGTAAACAGATACAGAATATATCATAATGTTCATAAAGCAGTACTTTCAAACAAAAAGAAATGCAAATTTCTTTCTTTAAAAAAATTTAATAAAAGACTTGGCTTCATGGTTATAACAGAAAGCTGTTTTAAGCTTAGTAAATACTGTCTACCTAAGTCAGGCTACTAAATTAGATAGAGGCAAGATTGAAGGCTGTAATGTAAGCTTCCTTCTATTGAATGCATTACCTGCTATCACCTATAAAAAATTAACATTTAATTTTTATATGTCTAAAGATCTTCTGAGCATTTTATACAATGGCGTTGTCCATCTGTTCATCCGTTTGTCCATACTTCTGAAAAAGAAATAAGGAGCACATTTTTTTGTCCATGATGCCTTCTTGTAAATTTGTCATCAGGCATTATATTGCCTAAAAACATCAGCAGCCTTTAATTTAATCATCAATTGTGAAAGCCATAATATGATTGTAATATTATACTTTTTTAGTCCAAACTTATTGTGTTGGACATTTTTTGAACACTTGGCAGTACCCATAACTCTTGCATGCAAATTTACTGAATTACTTGCGCTCTCTCATTTGAACAATAATCAGTTCAGCGGGTTGGGACACTAATATTTTACAATAATTTTTTAATTCCTATAACAGTCTGTTTGACAGCCTTCGTTCAACTCTTTTTAAGCATAGTATTAAAACATAAACATATTAATCTTAAGATACCAAAGTAAGATCATTTGTTAGGAAACATATTGTCCACAGCTGTGAGTGGATATTCTGTCATAAATGTGCCATCATGGTTCTGCTCTGGTGAACTTTTTTTGGTATCTGTGAGCTGTAAATCTATCAATTGCCCATGACAAAAAATTAAACAAAGATGTAATGCATTCAGTGTGCATGTAAAATCATGTACCACCCAAAATGTAAGCAGTTACGAAATAACAGCATAAAGTGAAGGCAGATTTACTGGCATTGAAGAAAGGTATAGCAAGAAATAAAATATGTAATAAAACTGTTTCAGTTTCTTAGCTATTTAGCCAATTAAACAAGCACATTTTCCGATTCCATTGTAGACGAAACACTTTTAGGTAAATGATATTTGGCACCAGTACATTGAAAACATGTCATCTCATAAATAGATGTAAGATTTCTAGTTAATGGAACAATATATTATAGAGAATGATACAGACTTGGAGAAGAACACCCAAATAGAAATAGGAAAAGATAAAAGCACAACAGTTTGTTTAAATTACAAGACGTTGATATTTTTGTGAACTTTTTTACATAAAACCAGAATTTGTATTTCAGACATTTGCTGATTTTTCATCTACATCAAAGAAAAGTTCATATCTCTGACAGACTTGAATGAAAGAATTATATTTTACATTATCACAGTTGACATTTTGATCTTGGTAGAGTCATGTTTTAATAACTGCATTAAAATAAGCCAAACTAGAATCAAAGTTTACTGGAACAATTAATTGCTTGCCAAAGAAATGTAAGTCCCAGACAGGAAGAATTACATAGAAATTGTAATTAAAGATGCATTTATAGTTTGATGATTACATTTCAAAATGGATATTTCATTGAAAAAAAAATTGTTACAGTGCCAAAATTACATCTTTGTCTTGTGATGGAATTCATCATCCACCTCACTTCCTATTACACAAGTTACAAGAAAATCATTTCCCCATCCAAGATATGATTCATTATATTTATCAACAGGATTTCCTTTGAGTAAGGCCAATCTGTAATTGCCTGAAATAGAGAAATACTGCTATAATTGACACAAATGATTAGCTTTATTAATATTTCATATTGAACCCTATCTTCATCTAGATAGTGCAGGAACAAAAATGGCTGAAAGCTGTGGAATGTCAGGAAGCTGCAGTGTTTATTATCAACTGACATGAAACATTCTCTTTCAATCAATTAATCAATTACACTAATTACAAGCTTTCTGGGACTGCATGCATTGGAATGGTTTCTTAACTGTGCACTTTTCTGGTTTCAATGTTATTTGTTGTTTTTCAGAATACAATATTTGATTATGAGCACTGTGTTAAAATGTTTGGTATTATGCTATACTGAGATTATCATATTAGAAGAGAAAAATATTATTGTAAAACTAGCTGTTGGCATTACATGTATTTAAGAGGTCACACTGGCTGAGGTTCAATCCTTAGGCTAGTCGAAATTTCTCTGTGGGACATTGAGTCTAATGGTCACCACTGGTACAGGAATCATAGCAAGTAGGTCACTTACTGAGAAATTGGTAATTACTGGTTAGTCATCCAGGAAAGCCGGCTAAGTGGCCTGCGGACCACAGAAATGATGACCAAAAATGAGCGTAATAAACAGAAAAACAAGCATTAAGACAAACACTATGTCAGAGAATTAAAGCTATGTTTAATCTGTAAGTTCTCTCATTTCTGTAGAGATTTCTAGAAAATCTGATTTAATGTCTCCTTTGTTTGTCTGTGACAGACTTAAAATCTAGTCTAGGTTAGATATTTATGTTGTTGTTATGGTAGTGAACTGTGACAATAAGACATTCCGCATATCAGACAGTGTTAATGATTCGTGACTATTCTTGCAATATTCCTGTATTAAAAAAAATAGAGATGAAGAATCAGGGAGAAATATTGTGATTTTTTTGATACAAAGGTTTTTATTTTATGATCTAAAATAAAAATTTATTGCTTCTAGCTCTGTTCATTACTCCCAGGAAAATAATTGGTAGAGTAAAAATAATAATTATATAAAGGATAGAATTAAGTTTGCAAAGGTGACATTTTCTAAAGTGTTGACATCAAACTGTTTTGTGAAACAATGTAATCAATAAGTATTAGTATAATCTATACATACTGATAACTTTTAAAATATATTTAATTTATTTTTTAGATACCTTGTACAAATTCCAGGAAGTTTTAGAAAACTCGCTTGTAAGACAGACTCCCTACTTTCAAATCATATTAAAATGGCCAAAATTGCGTCTTATAACCGGGTTTCTATGATATTTAAACTTCCCCATGACCACAAAGACTCATAACCATAGTACTTTAGATGTATAAATAATTTGCTTTTTTAAAACATGTATCATGAACTCTGTCTGTGTTGGCAATTTAATCGTGAGCATTTGTATGAAGCACCATTCATACAATATAGTTGAGGTATGTCTTTCTTCCATGTGGTCCAAATTGATCTCTTGATCTGCTATTGAGAGGAATTGTACATATTTTAGCAAATAAAATGTTTTTATGAGGCTTTATGCCATCCTCACTTACATACTATTGAACTAAGTAAATAAATGTTTGTTAAAACTTTGTTCCACTTTGAAATTGTAAAACATCTGTGTGTTTTATTGTCATATATTGGCATGATCACTTTTGTAAAATGTAAATTTCAGTTATTTCATTTCAGTTTTGTTTGATATATAGTTACATTTACATTTACAATTTGATAGATATATTGATAATGAGCACAACACATTGATTACTCTGTGGTGAATGGCCGTGTACTCATGTGAAGCTACTTTGTACCGAGGGAGTAGAAACTTTGGGGAAAACCCACATTTGCTGAATTCCGGATAACATCTATTGTCAAATTGTCATTTATTAATACAATGTAAAAAATAATGATCAGTATCAAATTGCTCTAGAGCTTTGTTTTTTTTGCTGTATTTTCAGATTATGACAAAGTGCAATCTTGCGGCTCAGCATTTCAATGTGATAATCACAAATGTATAGAAAAAGATTTAACATGTGATAGAGTGGATCATTGCGGGGATTATTCTGACGAGGCGGCAGAGGGACCGGCAGAATGTGGTGTATCTCGTAAGTTTGTCTTTTGCATAAAAGTTACACATTTAATTCAGTTTAAAACATGTTCTAGTCAGTTTTAAACCTGCACCCTTGTCCCCAAATGGCAAGGCAGTGTGGGCGATAGGGGGGAAACAAGAGCCAAATTTTTAATCTCTCATTTGTCAATGCACTATGGGGTCAATGCTATGGTTTGATTTTACTCAGAAATATGTCTAACTCATTGTGTAGGGGCAATTAACAGAGATTTTTGTCATATTATGGAATATCTTATAAATTTTTCTATTGCATTTATTAAAGTTACATTACAGTTGGCTGGTGCTTTGTAAATTGGCTTTGACAACAGGTTGGTCTATTCAGAGGCAAAATATATATTGGTTTGGTTTTATGTTAAGGTTTTGGAACTCTTTGAATCAAAGAAGCTCTTTTCCCCTTGTAAATCCTTCCTCTGCTATTTGAGATTGTCATTGCAAACAAATAACTGATTAAGTCTGTGATTCTTAGCTGTTATAATGTGTTTTTGGAGGTGTTTTATGATGTGTTGAAAGGCGCTATATTTCTCTAGTCTGGTGGTTTAACAACTGTTTTGTTTCTCTGAGTGTGCAGAAAAGTGTGGTTAAAGAGAAAAAATGTCTGGGCCTGCTTGATTAGCAAGAATATATTACCGAAGTTGGAGCCTTTAGACACAGTTTTATGATTATTCTTCCAACCTTTATTTATAATAAACAATTTTGAGTATACCTTAGGGCATGCCATGCTGACATATTAAAAGTGAATGTCAGACTTTTTTGTACAACTAAGTGGAATGAAATTATTTATATATGTATTTGGAGACCATATTAATGCTTATTTATTGTCCCCAGGCAAATCCCAGTGATAAAAGATGTCTGCTCTCTTAAAATAGTTTAAATGAAATCCTTAAAGTCCGACATAGGGAAATTATATATATGTTGCTGACATGGTGTGAATGTATAACTACTTGCTTGTGTTTAGTATCAGTTTGTCTACTGAACCCATTTCTTAGAACTCTCCTCAAGCAGGGAAATGTGGTTGTTTGATCCTTAACTGACCAATAGCAACATTCCGGAACAATTATTTCATTTTCAAAACTCATCAGTTGAAAAGTTGTATTTTCAAATTAATTTCAAATTGACCTATATTCTTGTTCTGGGCAATAGAACCGCTTGTTAGCAAGAATTTTGTCTTTGCCTTGACAACGGACATATATATAGTCACATTGGATCACAAGTCATCATCTACAATATGGTGGTTCCATTCCCACAGGTGTTTCATAGCCAGATTTCATAATATTTCAGGCAAAAAAAAAAAATAAAACATTCACCACTGTATAGAAGAAGAGCATTCATAAAAAAATATCACTGAATCGAGAATATTTTTAGAGTGAAATAAAAAGATTAAAACAAGAAAAAACAAGTTTCAAAACCTAGTGTTGTTTAAACTTTTGAAAAGTGAAATGGACCAATAACAATCAGAGTGATCCATTATTATAGTTTGATGTTTGTATTTGATATAAAACCTAGGGAGAATTATTTTATCGCGTGTAGTGCCAATATTCATATACAAAACTAGAACATTTTAATGATTTTTATCAGTTTTTCAGTTTGTGTGAAGCAATTATTTTCTGGTGATGACTTTGTCAAGTTTGGCCTAGTTAAATGGAGTTTGTATCAGAATATCTATGTAAAGATGTGTCTTGGGGAAAGGTCTTGTCTCTTTTCATTTCTAAATGAGGATCCAGGAACGTGACACAATTAATTTTATCAAGGAATAAAAAAATTCTTTGAACTCTTTAAGGATGGAAGCTATGTTTTTAGAATAAGCAATTAGTATAGACTAGATGATTTGTTATCTAATTTGTCAACAGCTTTTTAGGCTTATAAGTACTGATAAGATATTTCTTACATTATTTGCTGTATAGCATACTTGTGTGCCTGAAATTTTCTGATGTTTTCTCAAGATTGACATTACAGGAGTCTATAGAGTTAAAGGACCTTGTAGCATCTCTCGATGGTCCTCCAACAAGTTTTCTGAAACCCATTTGGTCAGACCCTTTAAGCTGCAACCTGAGGGCCTACTTGAGCTAAAAATAGAAATTCATGTTTTTTCTTTTTTACATTAAAACTTACTGCCAATAATTTTTACCCTTTTATGACTTCTTTTTATGATCTGGTTCGAGAGACAGCTAAAATACCGGTAGTTAATAAATGGGCATGCAGGGTCAGTTACATCATAGGTTACTAATATATATGCACGATTAAGGGTTAACTATTTATGTAATTTCATATCTGATGTTATTAACATCGTTTAAAGCATTTTTCCAAGCAAAGGATCAAACTCGGGTGTTAAAAAGTCAATAAGATTATCTATCAGACCTATAATGATTTTACTGCAGTTTTTCTATTTAAGTCTCTCTTAACTATTTGAATCCAATAGATATTACATGTAAGCTATAATTAATGGGATTGTTATGTGACAATATCACTTAATTCTTTTACTTTACTTTTTTTGTCAGAAGTATAGAAGAAGGAAATCTGTATTGATGTTTATTATCAATATATTTCCCATAGATGTAACATAAAATGGTATATTTTTAACAATTAAAGAAAAAAAGGTAATTAATATTTATGTCTTTTATTCTTTAAAAAAATTTATGGTTCCCAAGTTTGTCCTGTGATTTAAGGTCAAATTGTTGCACAAATGAACTATATATACAAAGGCTTTTTTCACTATTTTCTTATGTTTTCAATACATATAGTTCTTTGATTATAATGCAATTGCGAAAAATGTTTCAAATTATTTCAGTAACCTTAAGTCTGCTTGGGTTACCTAAAATATACCCATGAGTCTAAGTACAGACCAGTAGATTTAAGCTGGCACATCCATGGTCTGCTTGGTTCCCTATTCAGTCAATACATATTATAAAATTTCTCCCTGAAAAATGACACATCAGGTTTTGTTCAGAATAAAAGTTGGGCAAGTCCATTTAAGAATAATATTATAAATGGAAAGGGTTAAATAAATCTGAACTCTAACATTACATTATGGCATGTATCATCAGAATATTATCTTCCAAATTGCACACAGGTTGGTAAATGGTTATAGAACAAACAAAACTCCCTTGTCATTCAGCAATCTGTTATATTGATACTTGAGGTTTTTTCCCTAGAATACACTATTACCATCTCAGCAGGAAGCCTCTTCTTGGTTGTTTTGGTTCATTTCTTACACATAAACGAACATTTATCATTTTTATACGATGTTGAATAACAATGAAGACAGTTTTCATCAGTTTTTATCATTGAAAGCTTAGGCTTTCATTCATGAAGTTGCCACTGAGACCGCTAATGTCTTTTACAGAGGCTCGTAGATATGTTCAATTTACAGCGTAATCACTTTCGAAACATGGCAAGTTATTTTTGTTTTGATTTTCTGAGAGCAGTTTTTTTTCTCCGGCTTCCAACTTGATGAATTTCTGATGGGCATCAGATGGGTGAATGATTGCTAAGTTTCTACTCATTTCACAAACTAAACCTCTTTGATAACTATTGCTTTGTAGAAACTTGACTTTTCTCAATATTTATTACTTTAGGTTTATTTTCTTGCTCTTTGGCTTTGTGTCTAGAAAATCATAATGAAATCCACTTTTCTTAAAGCAGACTGTAATTGAGTGTACAAAGTTGCAGTAAAAGAGGTTTTTAAAAGGATTTTATGTAACAAAGTAGATGAAATGTGTGTTTTATGCCTGACAACGGCAGACTTACATTACATTGATTGTTCGTACACATTGTGTTGTTATGGCTTTTAAGCGCCACTGCAAACATGGTTTCTTTCAAATATTTGGAGGTCTGCTGCAGGAAAAGTAAAAAATACTCATCATAATTGTAAAACTATTTGGACATCAAGTCTCAGGCACATTGAATTTTAACTACTTAAAATAACAGTTATTAGAGCTGTTTTAGTGGACTCTTTCTTTTGCACCTTTAATCTGCTGGAGTTAACCTTTTGCTACATGATTATCTGTGCAATCAGACAAGGCTATAATATACTGTACTCAGATGACATTGAAACTCAACTTCTGTATGTCCATACTGACAACTTTGAATAGACTAAATTGTTCTGATTTTAAAGCTGGGCAAAGCTATTCCACAAATTCAGCAGGTTCAAGGTGAAATTTTAGTATGTATATATATATATCAGTTATTATAACCAACCTGCAGTTTAGACTCTAAGTGTAATGGCAGCTCAATTTCAGTAGAGCAGAACACTCTGAGCATAAAAATTTAAGAGTTAATGAGAGAAACAAACATTTGAAAAGCTGGACTACTAAAATTAAGTTTTAAATTAAGTGAAAGAGTTTTACTTACATTATTTACTGTTTTTGGTCCTATCAGATCTTCATGATAATTCTTGAATATAGACTTTTTTGGTTCAAATCAGAGCAGGTCTGTAATGTAATTCAAAGGGTAAAAGTTGTTAAATCAGGTAATGTTTTCTGTAAAAACTAACAAGGAACACTGATTGAAACTACTGACATTTAAATTTAATTTCTTAATTTCCAAGGTTGCACCTTATTTTGTTATATTAAACTGATGCAGTAAACCAGTTTAATGTTTATTTTCATTGGCTATTTGTTTTTTCCTGTATAATAAATTAAATTACATTGGCTACTTATTTCTGTCTGCACATATTGATGTCAAATTCAGTCTGCAAATAATCTAGTTAATACTGCAGAAAGGTATATTGATAATTGTGAGTATTGTTGGCCATGTGACACCAATAATGACCATCACAGTTAATGCAATTGCAAACCATTGATTTACAGTATCACTGATTGGAACTTAGTTTTTATTGATAATTTTTCCTTGGGATTTATTCAAAAGAAGGGGTGACAGTGTCTATTCTAGGATTCAAAAATTGAAAAAACTGAGAACTTATTACATTAATTTTGTTGATCTTCCTTCTTTCTCTACGTAAATTTTTCCCCCTGCCTCTGA